CCAGCCCCTGGCAGAATGACAGAGACCATTCTGGCAACCACCATTCTACTTTCTGACTCAGAATTTGATGATATATGTCATATAGTAGTATGATATATGTCATATAATATATGTCATATAGTATCTGTCCTTTTGTACCGGCTTATTTCACTTAACATAATGTTTTTGGGGTTCACCCATGTTGGTGCTAGTGGTAAAAAATCTGCCTGCCAAGGCAGGAGACATAAGAGATGCAGGTTTGGTCTCTGGGTCAGGAAGATCCGCTGGAGGAGGGCATGGCAACCCACTTCAGTATTCTTGCCTGGAGAATCCCATGAACAGAGGAGCCTGGTGAGCTACAGTCTTAAGGTTATGAAGAGTCGAATATGACTGAAGTGACTTCACACACATGTTACAACAAGTATCAGAGTTTCCTTTCTTTTTAAGGCTGAATAATCTTCCCTTTGTACATTGTACAGGGACTCAGCATCTTGTACATTGTACAGCATTGTACAGGGATTCTAATTTCTTTACATCTTCACCAACTTTTTTTTTTTTAAATAATAACCATCCTAATAAAGTGCATTCAGGTTTTTTTAAAGAGTCTTTTTGTTATGGAAATTTCCTGGTGTAAAAAAGTAGAGCAAGGAGTAGTTGAACTCCCATGTATCTGTCACCTCTGCTCAATAATTGTGAAAACTTGGCCAGTCTTGTTCCAATGAAAATCTCTTTCTCCCCCATTATTGGGACTCAGACACCAGTTATCATAAACTTTAATTAATTTAAAAATTGAAGTAGTATAGTTGATTTATAATATATAAACATTCTCAAAGATGAAGCATAAAACAATATTATTAATATAAATAATGTTTGTGAATTTTACTTGGGTCATAGCCGTGTATTTGATTCAATGATCCATATCTCTGTGTCATTATTAACAAATATGTTCTCAGCATCATTCTTGCTCTTGTATAGTGTAGATATAGATATACTTTACCTATGCCTTTCATCTACCCTTGCCTTTTTGCTTGTTAACAATTTTATTCATGAAATTTTGTAATACACAGTTAACTGTGATCACAGGCTGCATAGTCATTTGTAAACACAACTTTAACAGCGTATCAGTAACTGCCAAAAGTCATATTCGAATGGAAAAGAGTGAAGCGACATCATTATAGACATAACTTTGCTGTTGTTGTTTAGTGCTGAGTTGTGTCTGACTCTTTTGTAACCCCATGGACTGTAGCCCGCCAGGCTCCTCTGTCCATGGGATTTCCCAGGCAAGAATACTGTAATGGGTTCCCATTTCTTTCTCCATGGACTCTTCCCTACTCAGGGATCAAACTCACATCTCCTGCATTGCAGTCAGATTCTTTGCTCCTGAGCCACCAGGGAAGCCCTAAACATCACCTTGAGTCACTTCTAATATCCTTTTATTGAGGTATATATTTTCTCATGCAAGGAGATCCAACCAGTCCTTCTAAAGGAAGTCAGTCCTGAATATTCATTGGAAGGATTGATGTTGAAGCTGAAACTCCAATACTTTGGCCACCTGATGCAAAGGACTGACTCATTTGAAGACCCTGATGCTGGGAAAGATTGAAGGCTGGAGGAGAAGGGGACGACAGAGGATGAGATGGTTGGATGGCATCACCGACTCAGTGAACATGAGTTTGAATAAACGGGAGTTGGTGATGGACAGGGAGGCCTGGCGTGCTGCGATTCATGGGGTTGCAAAGAGTGGGACACGACTGAGCAGCTGAACTGATACATTCTCATACAACGTATTTATTAGTTTCAGATAAACAATATAACGATTTGATGTTTGTGTATATTGTGAAATGATTACCATGACACATGTAGTTAACACCTGTCACCATTCATAGTTATAGATTTTTTTTTCTTGGGATGAACCTTTAAAATTTACTGTTGTGTGTGTGTGTTAGTTGCTCAGTCATGTCCAACTCTTTGTGACCCCATGGGCTGTAGCCTCCAGGCTCCTCTGTCTATGGAATTCTCCAGGCAAGAATACTGGAGTGGGTTTCCATTTCCTTCTCCAGAGGATCTTTCTGACCCAGGGATCTAGCCTGAGTCTCCTGCATTGATTGGCAGGCAGATTCTTCACCATCTGAGCCACCAGGGAAGCCAAAATTTACTCTTAGCAAGTTGTTAATATGCAGTAGTAGTTATTATTAACTATGCTGTATATTACATCCTCATGACTAACTTATTTTATAACTGGAAGTTGTAATTGTTTACTGTCTTCACCCATTTTGCCCACCCCATACCCCTGCCTCTGGCAACCACTAATCCTTTATCTACACAGCTTCAATTTTTCTCTTTTTTAAGGACATATGCTTTCATTTGCAGTACTTCAATATACTGTATACCTCAGTATATTACATACTGCTCATGTGTAGAAATACCATATTATTCAGCAAAAAAAAGAAAATTTTTATATTTTTATACTGTAAAATAGCATATTATACCTAAAAGTTAACAAGAATTCTTTTATCAGATACCTTGTTTGTGTCACCCATATCTTTATGCTCAGTTTCTTTTAATCTGATGGTACAGGAGACAAAGGATTGCTAACAAGTTGCTCAAAGATGACAATTTACATTGCTAACCAAGATTCAGTTACAGTTTTTAGTTTGCTAACTCTGTGAGCAAGAACTCTGGTTATTTAAAACCATTCTTCCTGATACTTGTTGGCTTTTGTGTATATACCGTAAATAGTACAATAGGTGGCCACTGCCTTCAGCAAATAAAGTGAGTTTAATTCTGGGGTTGATTTACGTTTATGTGTTTGTTAAAATTGGCCATTTAAAGGGGCTCCAGAAAATATACCTAAAAGCAGACTATAGGATGAAAATGTATCTACAAATTTATCTCCATATCTGATAGAATGTGCTGGTAGAGACTGTGTTTACATTTTGGGCTTTTTGGAGGTGAGGGCTGGTGATTATACATTTGCAGCTGTGCATTTCCTTAATGATAGTATCAGTGTTAAAAATGAGAATCTACGTGTAGGTTAGAAGTCCTCTTCTGGCAAAATCAGGTTGTGTGAATTCTTTACCATTGGGTCATTTGAAATCTAAACTACAGCAGAGCCAACGAAAGGCTGTGGGAAAAAGAAAGGAACACACAATTATTCACTTTTCCCTTCCTGTAGTTTTCTTATTTTGCACAGCAGATCCCAGTATATGCTACTGCACTTTATAACTTTTGGAGGAAGTCTTGTTCAAGATACAAAGAAAAGAGCTCCCTACAATTTAAGATTCTGTCAGTGTTCAGGTGTAAGAATGTAGTTCTGTTGTCAGGCACAGATAAACGGGTTAAAGGCAGAGCTAGTTCTTTCTCTATGGCTCTGTTTATATATTTTCTTGTGCTGTTTTGCTGATGAACCATTTTCTTTTTGTTTGAAGATAGTTTATATCCTTGTTCGTCAAGTAACCTCAGTAAGCTGAGAGCACAGAGGCTTCAGAGTGATGGTGACACTGAAGTTACTGTACATTCTCCTTCCGTTGTTGCAGTAATATATAGATGGTAGTAACATAATGACCCTTATATGGAATTTGCGTAGTTCAGCTGTTAAAGAGTCTACCTGCAGTGCAGGAGACCCCAGTTCGATTCCTGGGTCAGGACATTCCCTTGGCGAAGGGAGAGGCTACCCACTCCAGGATTCTTGGGCTTCCCTGTTGGCTCAGATGGTAAAGAATCCGCCCACAATGCGGGAGACCTGGGTTTGATCCCTGGGTTGGGATGATCACCTGGAGAAGGGCATGGCAACCCACTCCAGTATTCTTGCCTGGAGAATCCCCATGGACAGAGGATCCTGGCGGGCTACAGTCTATAAGGTTGCAAAGGGTCAGACATGACTGAACAACTATACACAGGCAAAAAGTAAGTAGGTATTAACTCATTTAATTTACACAACAACCATATAAGATAGATATTATTATCCTCATTTTACTGCTGAAGCATTAAGGCACACAGAGATTTGTAAACTGACTACTCCAAGCACAACTAACTAGTAAGTGGCAGAGTTAGGAATTGATCTGAGGCAGCCTGGAGCCAGGGTCCTTCCTCCTAACCATTATACTTTATTGTTGTACTTACTTGACACCCATTTAAGTAAAGGGAAATGTGAGATAAAAAACGTTCTTAACATCTTGTGGGCTCTGTGGAACTTATTATTTGTTCATTCAGTGCTCCCTGTAGAATCAGTGATTACAGAGAGAACATTTAATCTAAAGCATTCACCCCTATTTTCAAACTGGTATTTTCAGATCTGTTCTCCATCTGAGACCTTGCATTTAGAAAAAGTACACTTGAACTTTTTAGTTGAATTGACAGATCAAGAGCTTACAGACAGGATATTGCCTCTGAGTATTTGAACTGTATTTGCTGACCCCCTGAAGCAGTAATTTAGCACAGTGTTTCTGCTAAGAGTTCAGCAGTATTAGGGGTTTTGACTTCAAAGTGTGTATATGTGTGTTTTATATATATCTTTGTAGATAGACCACTTCTCCACAAATGGAGCCAGTCTTACATAAATTCTAAAAACCTTTCAGAGCCATTTAAACCCAAAAAATATCTAAGCATTTGAAGTAGAACTATGTGCAACACAACATGTTACCTTTCTGGAGACTTGTGATAAGTAGAGTACATAAAGCAAACTGCCCACTTTAAAGGCTTGAAGTTCAGGCCAGAGAACCTCCAGTTAATCTTGCAGAGTTAGTTCTTATTTGGGCACCGATTTACAAATACTTTTTATCTTTAAGTCTGAGTTAGTAACCACTATTTGATAAAAACAAACAAACAGTGTTCTGATTTCTTCTGCGTCTTTTGTCTTGGATTATGTGGATCTGGCTGAGCTCTGGTTCGAACACATTTCCTCTGGTGGTTTGGGTCAGTCAAGTGTTCGGTTGCAGTGAGCAATAGATCATCATTTCTGCCCATGGGGTGTGCATCTTATGGAGTAGATGACTTTCTCATGCTAATTTTCTTTCCCCTAGGTTTATGAAGGTCTCGACATTATCACCAATAAGGTTTCTGCCCAAGAGCAGAGGCTGTGCCAGCACCACATGATCAGCTTTGTGGATCCTCTCGTGACGAATTACACAGTGGTGGACTTCAGGAACAAAGCAACTGCTCTGATATCCTTCACGGAGGTAGCAGCTAGGCTTGGTGGCTGCATGGCAGCCCAATCCAAGAAAGACCTTTTCTTTGTAGTGACAGTTTCTCCTGAGCAGAGATACCAGAGACAACAGTAGCATCCCCATCAGAACTCTTTGGATTGAAAGATACAGTGTCCTTGCTGCTGAATCTTTTCCTCAGACTGCAGGGTCAGCATCACTTAGGAGCTTATAGAAGTGCTGAATTTGGGCCTCATTCTGGACCTACTGAATCAAAATCTGCATTTAACTAGAGTCCCAAGTGATTCACAGGTGTATTAAAATTTGGAAAGTGCTGTTTTAGTGGAGAGAACACTGACTTAGGAACCAGAAAATCTGTGTCCTGGTTTTAGAACTGCCTCTTTTGACCATATAAATGTCATTTCATTGGGTAAAGCATTTATCCACTGAGCTTGTTTCCCATCCTTTAAATGGGGATAAGAAATTAATTTAGAAATATAACGGGATTATAGTAGGAAGAAATAATTCTGGGTAACACCAAAGAAATTTTGGAAAAAAGAATAACGTGAGAGGGCTGCCCTTATATTTTAATGTCCAAACTGCCTTTACTATCTGGACTACTATATATTAAAACATATTGAAAAGTCATAATAGTTGTCATAGAATGAAAATTATATAATACTAGACAAATTTATAGCACAGATAAGAAAAGCCAGATACAACTTGAAGTTGCATGTTTGTGTGAATGTATGTATTTTATGATCAAGTGACATTTCAAAACAATGAAGAAATAATGCAGTAGTTTATAATTTTTCCTGGGACAGTTAATTTTTTTTTAAAGTGAAATCAGGTCCTTATTATATGTGACATAAGTTCCAGATGGATTTCAGAGTTAAATAAATGTCTTTTTTTTTTTAAATGAAACTTTGAAACAAATGAGATAACATGTAATTGAGTAGTTATGTGATACTAGAGTAGGGAAGGACTTTGTAGATATAGTCTTTTTTTAAGGATTTTTTAATTCAACTTTTTCTTTTTTATTGTGTTAAAGTGTACATAAAATTTACCGTTTATAAGTGTAGAGTTCAGTAGTCTTAAGTATATTCACACTGAGCAGCCGTCACTACCATCTATGCCGATAATAGTTTTTTTTTTGTTGTTGTTGTTTTTTAAGGAAAATAGCTAGATTTGGATATATTCTTGTATTACCAATACAAGAATTTGTATTGGTAAGAATACTGGCTTCCCTGGTGGCTTAGACAGTATAGAATCTACTTGCAATGCAGGAGACCCAGGATCCATCCCTGCATTGGGACGATCCCCTGGAGAAGGAAATGGCAACCCACTTCAGTATTCTTGCCTAGAGAATTCCATGAACAGAGGAACCTGGAGGGCTATAGTTCATGGGCTACAAAGAGTCGGACATGACTGTGTGACTTACACTAGCTACTAGCCATTGGTAAGAGTGTTATTTCAACTATTTCAGTTCCTATGTTTTTATCCTAAAGAAACCTTGCCATAATTATACCAGGAGATAATCGGTAGATCTCATTTTAACAACAATATTGCTCTTAACAGCAAAAACATATAAATACCCAAGTTCCTACTTAGAGAGGAATATATAAAATGTGCCTTGTTCATTTAAGTAGTTTTTCAGCAGTGAAAATGATGAAGTTGTAGTTCCATGCATTACGGAGGAAGAATCTTACACTTAATTAAAGGGGGGACATACAATTTGTTTCTCTGTTTAAAAAATGGACATGTTTCTTATAATCCTTGACTGGTAACATCTTTTTTCCCCACCCTACCCCAACCTCTTATAGAGGGTTTCTGATAGAAAAGGTCATCTATCTCTGTGCCCACAGAGTGGCTGGCAAAGGGAAGAAGTGTATAAATGAGTCTTTATCTGGGTTGAAAGTCTCTTTATTAGTTTCCCTCAGAAGCACAGTTCCTCTTAAAGTAGATATCATCTTTTTAACAGAGATTCTAAAGAGAAGAATTCCAAGTAGCAGGGGTATGAGAACAATAATGACTAAAGTAAATTGTGTGCTTACTCAGTAGAAAAAAGTATTTCAGGCATTGTTTTATTTTATTTGTATTGTCACATGTAATGCTCATAAGAGCTCATGAGAATTTTACAGGTGAGAAGGCTGAGGCTTAGACAACTTGAATGACTTGCTGAGTGTTGGAGCTGGTAATTGAAATCTATTGTCTTTACAACCGATACTTCCCAGGTCATCTGGTAGAGTTTCAAGTGTGAAATATATACTACTACCCCAGAATGGTGAAGACTGACTGAGTCTAAGAACCACGGCTTAGAGAAACCAGCTCATAATTTGCCTTAGAAGGCAAAGTCACATAATGGATGTCATTTTCGTGGCTTCCTGAGCAGCTGACACTTGGTTCTGTGAGAGTTCTTTAGGCTTGTGCTTGTTTAGCTGATTTGGAATACTAAGCAGGCTTTGAATTTGAGCATCAAGGCTTAGAAAGTTCCAGAACTGGAAGGAATTACTATCATGTATCTGTCTCTGATTTTTGCAAGTCCCTCCAGAACTGATAGGAAATGATTCTGAAAACTCATGAGAAACAGTAAAGACTAGTATCAAAAATATGACAAATGAATGTGGTTCCTTACTAATCCCCTACTTCCAAGTGAGTCAGCATTTTCTTCTTGTTATTAAATATTTTGATGTCTTTCTTAACATTCACATTGAAGATATATTTGCCCGAGATAAAATTCCTATTGTCGTGGGAGGAACCAATTATTACATCGAATCTCTGCTCTGGAAAGTTCTCGTCAATGCTAAGGTATGTTTAGTTCCCTTGTAGTTCAATGAGGAAATGGGTTCTTTCTTGTCAGCTGATTTTAGTGGGAGGAAAGTTGACTCCTGCCTATTTCTTATACTCGGCAACTGTACTAATTTTCCTACCTAATATTCTGAAGCAAGTGCCATTTCCATATGTGAAGTGTTCTCCTCTAGGCTGGCCTAAGGGCAGCAGGGGCTGTATGTGGGGAAAAAAGGTTCTCTGTGGATTCATTAGCATTGCCATGTAAGTCAACAGTATGTCAGTCTGTTTCAGCATTTCCTGGCTGTAACAATCTATATGTCAGGGAGATACCTGATATCAACCTTTTTTATAGAGGTGCTGTTTATAGGGTGGGACTTTGCAAACTCTTCAGTATAATGTGCTGGAAATTCTGGTCCATTCTTGGGTCATACTTGTTGAGAAGCTAGACTCTTGGATGCGTTAATAGATGTATTAGCCGGGGTAGCTCGTACTTCTGACAAGGAAGCAGTGTACCTGAGTACTTCCCTAGGCAGTAGATCCTCTTTCCTCTTTATTTGCTGTGGCCTCATAGCGCTACCGTAATGTGTTGGAATTTTCTGTTTATGATCTCTCACTATATGGCAAGACCTCCTGATTGATCTCAGTTGTCTTCCTAATACTTAACCAAAGTGCCTGGCACATACCGTTTCTCAGTGTTTGCTGAATTAAATTTACCTCTGAACCTTTGTTTGATAGCCCCAGGAGATGGGCACTGAGAAAGTGATCGACCGAAAAGTTGAGCTTGAAAGGGAGGACGGCCATGTTCTCCACAAACGCCTGAGCCAGGTTGACCCGGAAATGGCTGCCAAGCTGCACCCACATGACAAGCGCAAAGTGGCCAGGTAAGAAAGCTGGGGCCACTGACCCCAAGCCCCTTTAGAGGTAGAGGGCAGTCAGTTCTTCAGGTTGCCTGGGTGGCGAGACAGGTTTGGTAATAGCATCTGGTGGAGATTGATGTGTTACTAGCACGGCAGGTAGGAGGCCCTGAGTTACTGCCTCAGTCCTCCCTCAGTTAATAGCCGCAGCCTGCTTTGTTGTGACGTTTAAAACTCGTCATGCAGTGCACTCGTTCCCTGAGGCCTGAGCGCTCTGGCTTCATTTTCTGTTTGGCCTTTGCTTCTATGACAGTTTTCATATGCATTTTTTCTGGCATGCAGCAGTGGCTGAGTTCTGCCCCAGCACACTGCCCACTGGCAGGCAGGTTTTATTTTTATTTTTTTCCATAACTTGATTTATTTACTTGTTTTGGAGGTGAGTTTTATAAATTGTCTTATTGATCAGCTCACCTTAACACATGGAGACTTTCTTGAAGGGAAGAGAGAGATGATCTTAGTTCATTAACCATGTTTTCTTAGGTTATTTTGAAATTGAAGCCTCATATGTTAAGTGTGGTTTTCTCCCTCCCTCCCTAGTATTAGATGGTTTATTTTTTCCTCCATAAATAATGCATCTTCATTACCTCCATATTCTGTTCACTTCTGACCACATCTTCATTTATCAGTCATCTTACCTACTTTTTTCCTTCCAGTTTTCTTGATATGTAATTGACATACAGCACTTATAAGTTTAAGGTATACAGTGTAATGATTAATTTTACATACATCATTACATTATTACCATGATAAGTTTAGTGTACTTGTATAGATAGAAAATAAAAGAGAAAAATATTTTTCTTGTTATGAGAACTCTTAGGCCTCCCTCTTAACTTTTATTTATAGCTTACAACAGTGTTAGTTTTATTTATCATGTACATTCCAAACCTAGTACTTGTTTATCTGTAACTGTAAGCTTGTATCTTTTGACTAACTTTATTCAGTTCCCCCTTCTCCCACCCCTAGCCTCTGGTAACCACACATCTGATTTCTTTTTCTTTTGTTTTGAAGTATAATTGATCTGGAACACTGTGTTGATTCCTAGTGCACAACATAGTGATTTGATATTTCTATACATTACAGTATGATCACCACTTAGGTGTACTTTTATGCAATGCTGGAGATGACACCATATCTGGCAGAGTAGAGGCTCTAATGAAGACCTACTATATGGATGTTTATGCACTTTAAATATTGTAGCAACATTTGGTATTGATAGGGGTTATGAAATATTCCACTCAAATAAGTGTTCTAGATCAGTGTTTCTTTTTTTTTTTTTCATTTATTTTTATTAGTTGGAGGCTAATTATTTTACAGTATTGTAGTGGTTTTTGCCATACACTGACATGAATCAGCCATGGATTTACATGTGTTCTCCGTCCTGAATCCCCCTCCCACCTCCCTCCCTGTCCCATCCCTCTGGGTCATCCCAGTGCACCAGCCCCGAGCACTTGTCTCATGCATCCAACCTGGACTGGCGATCTGTTTCACACTAGATCAGTGTTTCTTAAGCCTTCTCTTTTGTCCACTCTGCCCTTGAATCTTTTTTAGAAAATTTTTTCTCTTGTTGTAACTCCCTTCCTCCCCTCCTTGAAGTTTTGATACTGAAGAATAAGATTTGGGTTATGGCTACCCTTTGGAAGGCTGCCCGTGATTACAATATCTAAGTGTTTTTTGCCCCCTTGAGGTCAGTATCGTCCTGTTAATAATGCATATTCTAGATAAGTGAAGTATATATTTTCCAGTATTCAAACATTTTGTTGTAAACATTTAATAGAAATCTTCCAAAACTTTTTTGGAAAACTCAGGGATACTAGATGAACATTCATTTCTGTATTGTTTGATGGTATGATTATCTGTTCCTTTCATTAATCAATTCTTATAATTTCTTTGTTTTGCTACTTCTAAAATAGTAATGAGTTGAGGATATATTTTAGTTAGAACAATAGGTTCTGAGCAGGAGTTCTAGAGTCTTTAAAAGAAGATCCAAGGACCTTTTTCATCTTTCTTTTTGTTTGAGGCTGTATATTCTAACCTCCAGATAAGTAAGATATCTGTTACTACTTTTTTTCCCTTGTAAGGCCTCTTTTGAAAGACCGGTGATGGGCAAAGACGAGGGGTTTCTACTCTTGTGTTAGGGTTTCAGGAAGTAGAATTGGATCAGGAAGGGATAGATCACTTTCAAGCTGATAAGTTGCAATCACCCAGAGTGGTAGAATATAGATTTGAGAGTTAAATTACCTGGTGCTGCATAACATAGTAGATACTAACAGAGTGGATGGTGGCTTAAGTATGTGAATTCTTTCTTCAGGGATCTTTGTGTGTGTAGTAGAGTACTGAATTAGTCTGAAGCATTCTTCGTTAATTTTAGACATATTTAAAAAGGAAGTTGACGAGCTAGATATACAGCATACTTTTGTACTGTGGGAAAGGCATTCCAGCAAGACTAGACTTGTTGGCTTGTAACAAGGTGTCCCAGCAAGCTTTTACTGCTTACTTGAAAGTGAATATGTCCTATTCTGTTTGTGTAGAAGAAACCTGTTGCTTCTGAACCTAAAGATTTCAGACAATTTTATGTATGTTTAGAAGGGTAGTTTTATTTTTTTTAAGTTTTCTTTATAACTTTTTTCTGTGTAGCTATGGGATTGCTGTATAACCCCAGACCTTCATGTGTTCAGGGGCTTAAACGGTGAAAATGACAATGAGGCATTCTATAATAAATAGCCTCTCTCCTGTTTTACTTGAGAATTAATATTTCCTAATGGTTTTTATGGATGTGCCTACTCTACTCTTTCAAATGACTTAGGAGCCTGCAAGTGTTTGAGGAAACGGGAATCTCTCATAGTGAATTTCTTCATCGTCAACATGCGGAGGAAGGCGGTGGTCCCCTTGGAGGCCCTCTGAAGTTCCCTAACCCATGCATCCTCTGGCTTCATGCAGAACAGACAGGTAAAAGTCCTTTAGTATCTCAGAGTCCATCTGAGATAAAGCTTATAGGAATACATTGCTGTATATAAAATGTTTAGAGTAAGTCAACTATACCTCAATAAAATGTTGTTTTGAAAAAACATACATGTTCTTAGTGGCATATGAATGGCTCATAATAAGCGCTAAGCAAGTGTTCGCTGTTAATTTTACTATCATTACCAAAGGCACAGTGTTATTTCCCTGGGTACCGGTCTGGAAAGCAGGTAAAGGTATTCCTGGAATTAGTATAAGATACCAAGGATGAGATAAGATGGGATGGGAGAGGGGCTGCTATCCAGAGCAGATCCAAAGGAGAAAGAGAAGGATCCTGTGGAAGGAGGTCTGACTCTCTGAATTGGCTAGTGCTTTCTCCTTATATAATAAGATGATGTGCCTCATTCTTGCTGTTTTTATTGAACTGCAGAGTTTGTGACTGAATATAATTATGAATTATTAGATAATCTTTGGACTCTGAACTTTTTCTTCCATTTGAACAAATTCTCTTCTTTGTGGCAGCTTATGCATTCACCATGTATAGTACGCACCTTCGGCAGGCTTGCTGGTTGATGAGTTAATTTGATTCAAGTTCTAGATGAGCGCTTGGATAAAAGGGTGGATAACATGCTTGCTGCTGGGCTCTTGGATGAACTAAGAGATTTTCACAAACGCTATAATGAGAAGAAAGTTGCAGAAAATAGGTGAGAATTTGGCTGTTACTGTCACGTACTCTTCATCCCTTGCTTATGGTCAGAAGACCATAAACACAGTACTGGCTTTGGATCTACTTGTTTATTAGCCTTCATCCTTGGCATTGGCTCCACTTGTAGGAAGGAGGGTTGGTGTACTTGTACAGTTGCAGGTTTCTAATCTCACAAACATTCCCAGGAGCTAATTTTCAATGGAAGTAACCTGGGAGTTGATTGGGGGGGTGTAGAGGAAGGATTTCAGAGAGGTGGTGACTGCTCAGGATCTCAGTTTCTCCATCTGTGAGATGAAATGGTTCAGCTAGATCATCTCCAGGGCCCTCTAGCTCTCAGATGCAATGGCTTATCCACTGATGCTGTCTTGTTCCCAGCCAGGACTATCAACATGGTATCTTCCAATCAATTGGCTTCAAGGAATTTCACGAGTACCTGATCACTGAAGGAAAATGCACACCAGAGATTAGAAACCAGCTCCTAAAGAAAGGTGTGAATTCTCCATCTAACCTAGCCTTGGACATCCTTGGGTGATAGAGTGTCCAGCTGGTATGGTCAGTAAGAACTGAGGTTGAAAGAGTCCCAAATGGCCTTCAGCTCAGAATGGAGATTTTTCACATATCGAGTATCCACCAGTGTGCTGATGTGGCTAGTTGTCTCTGATGCCAGGCTGGCTGGGCCTTGCGGCAGAGTGAGAAGTGCTTAGAGGTTCTTATGTTCTGCTTTGTCTTTTAGGTATTGAGGCTCTGAAACAAGTGACTAAGAGATACGCCCGGAAACAAAACCGATGGGTTAAAAACCGTTTTTTGAGCAGTAAGTCTCCTTGTTTTTCCTTATGCTCTGGGTCTGCTTTTAATAGAACATCGGCATTCTCCGCTCACCCAGAAAGTAACCTTTAGTTTCTGGATCTGACCTGGGGGGTGTTGCATAAGTGATTATCCAGGGGTGTTTTCTTTTGATACCTCAGGAAACAGTTCTTCCCGAGGAAGAATCTACCTTATGCCTTGAACACCCGAGTACCGGCTGCAAGCTAGTAAGAGTAAAGTAGCAATATTTTCTTAGCAGAGTTGGTGCTTGGGGTTGATCTTACTTAGCTTCAGATTTCATACCTGAAGAACAATTAGATGTCTATAGGAAGGCTTTCCTAATTAAAATGGTTTTAGGGCCAGATAAGTAGTATAAAAAGACAAAACCTTTACCAATTCTCCTAGCATTACTTTTGTGTTCAGATATGTGGTGTTTCAGGCTGCTGCACCTCTTAACTTCAGTTGAATAGCGCTTTTAAGGAAAAGGGAAGGAAATTCTCATTCATTGGACCCTGTACTATATCCTTAGCGCTAAATTGGGTGCAGTACATTTATTACTGGGACTTCAAGGTGGGCATTTTTCTTTTCTTTCTGAGGATAAGTAAATAGAGGCTTAGGGAAGTTAAATAACTTGCTCAAAATCCCCTTGCTAATAAGCAGTAGAGTACTGGATGCAGGCCTGACTCCAAAGTCCACACTCAGCTGTACACCCACTGCACTTGTTTCCTCAGCTATACCTTTAGCTGGATAGCATTAGTATTGGGCCTTGAGTCAGGAGTGGTGTGGTCATGAGCTAAAAGATTAAAGGAGATTAAGCATAAATGAAACCCTGTTTTTATCTTTTGAGCACTTTTTAAGTATGCTTTTGAATCAACTCCTGTTACCTTTGCCATTGAATTTCTGCTTTCAGTTAGTTACAGGTAAGTACAGCCGAGGCCTCCTTCTCCACCCCAGTGCCTCCGAACAGAAATGCCTTGGTCTGTGTTATTTGACCACTGGATCGCTCTCTCAGTTCTCTTTCTCTGCCAGAGTTCTCCATGCAGCTCTTCTACTTACCGTGCTTTCTCTGCACATCTTTCTAGATAGAAGTCTTTTTGTCAGCCGAAACTGAAGTTCACTACTACAGATTTCTAACACAGCCTCTTTTCTCAACAGGCCTAACAATTAGTCTGTAACAAAAGATGGGGTTTTTTGGGGTAATGATTTGGAACTTCTTCCTGTGGTAAAGCCGCAATAACCCCCCATCTCTGAGTCACTCAGAGTTGATGGCACTGTGCATCGTATGCTCGTTCCTCATTCGTGTGTGTGCCCACACAGCCCTGGTGCTGGAGTGAAAGGCACAGCTGCCCTGTAAATCAGGAACTGCATGTGATTGGCCAGGGGCTGGTCTGCTGGGATACGGCTCTGGCACAAAGCCAGAGGGACTTCCCCACCCCAGCTTGGCCTTGGAGCTGAGCCAGAAATAGCAGCTGGGAGCCGAGAACTTGTTGAAAGGTGCTGAGACAGGGCACAGAAGCCCAACAAAGGACTTAGAAGGGAAAGGAAAATATAGAGTGGCCTGGAAACAGGTGCAGAGCTTAGCCAAGGCCAGGTGTGCTGTGGATGCTGCCTGCACCCTCCCAGTCTCACCTTTCCGTGTGGTGGCAGGTGCAGCCCAGTCCAGTTTATGAAGAATCTTATTTGTGGTTGGCACAATCAAAAGGCCAGCACCTGCCAGCCGTTGGCATTCCGAGGACTTTGATGTTTTTGTCCATGGGGTGATGCTCTTTACCTTTAGGCAACTGACTGAACCTAGATGTGGAAGACAATTTAGAGTGTCCTCAGACTAAGGAAGCCACCAGCAGAGGCTAAACATGGTTGGCTCAGTTGGATGAAATGCCTGTAGCTGTACATTTGACTACCTCCAGTCTTACCTCCATTCAGAACTAATTCGCCATAGGGTATTTCTTGAATACTTCTCTAGATCTGTTTCTTAGAAACAGGGCTCAACTACTTCAGTTCCAAGGCTTTTTTCTAATTTTCAGATTCAGCAGCTCCCTGGCTGATACCCTGCTGTTGCCAGCCCGTGATTATCAGTATGGTATTAATGAGTTTTGTGAGTGCCAGACTGCTGAAGGGAGATACACAAACCTGAGATTAGTGTCTTTTTCTAAAGAAAGCTGTGAACTCTCTTGCCACAGAGTGAAATCACCATCAGATGATATGGACCTTAGAACAGGTGTTCACTTCAAGCTGCTAATTTCCCCCTATAAGATACTGCCTTTTATGTTGTAGCCCATATAGTGGCCACTGGGGCTGTTTCTGTGTGTTGTTTTCCTGAGTGATCTGGGAGATCCCACACTCAAGACCCTAGATTATATAGCTAGACGTGTTGGCCCCAGGCCAATCAACCTTCTGGGTCTTTCTTGGACCGTGTGTGGTCGTTTGGTTTGTGTTACTGATTAAAAGGAATGGCATGGTCAGAATGTTTATTTCTTTGGCCCCATATCTTTCCCTTGAGGATTTTGGAGTCCTGGGAGCAGAATAGATTGGGTCTTGGAAGCTGACCTCTCACAACTTTTCTTTGTCATCATTAGGACCTGGTATCGGTGTTCCCCCAGTATATGGCTTAGAAGTATCTGATGTCTCGAAGTGGGAGGAGTCTGTTCTTGAACCTGCACTTGAAATTGTGCGAAGTTTCATCCAGGTGATTATTAATCATGGTCCCGTCTATTGTCTGATTTTCAGAGAGCTTTGTGTAGCTGACACCTTTGTTGCTATGCTGGGGAATGAAGCATTCTTTTCCATGGAATAAAGCAGAAGGGCTGGCTGCTTTTAGATCCCTGGAGGCTGCGTTTCTACTTTCACATTCAGAAAGGTTGTTGTTAAAATCTGTTCACAGCCCACCTGCTCTCTGGCATGAAAAAAAGGAATCTTGGGAGAATCTCACTCCTCTTAATATCTGAGAATGATATCCAGATCTCTTTGAACAAATGCTTCTTCCCCATCCCTGCCTTGTTTTTTCCAGGGCCACAAACCCGCAGCCACTCCAGTAAAGATGCGAAGCAATGAAACTGAGAACAAGAGAAGTTATCATATGTGTGAGCTCTGTGATCGAATCATCATTGGGGACCGTGAATGGGCAGGTAAGAGTCTGGGGTAGAACACAGAGAAATCTGCAAGGGTGGGTCCCACTGACTTCATGAAATTTAAGGGCTTTGGTAGCTTGAATGCTGGAGTCTGCTTGTTTGTAAAAAGATGGCCAGATTCCTCTAACAGCCTGTGTTCAGATTTCATGGAGGCCTTCTCAAACAGGAGAGTTGTCTCTGTATTCTGAATTTCAGAGGAAGATTGTATGCCCTCTAGCTTTGGCTAGAGTTGATATTTTATACTGAGAGTTGGCAGTTAACTGTCCAGAGCTTCTTTTACTTTTGTAATCCTGCCTTAGAGGAGTTTCATGGCCTCTCATGTTTAGACCTCAGTGAGGGTGAGGTAGGATTTTAAGGGAAGCCAGGCAACTTACCCAAGAGACCAAAGGGGCAGAAACAGCTGGGAGGGGACAGGAAGTGCAGTTACTCCTCCTGAATACATTCTTCAAAAGTGGTATCTCCAATAATTTTTAAGGTAATTTGTTGAAATGCTGTTGGTTGCATAAACTGATGAAAAGTGTTAAGGGGAACTGTGTGGAAGCAAGACTGTCAGATACTCAGAAAGACAGTGGTGAAAGGGTATTCTTCTTTACAAGGTGCTTCCAACCAACCCAGGATTGGCCTGCCACAAGGTTCTAGTTCCTTGCTTCAGAATCTAGGTCTGTCTTTGCCAGAGTCAGCCGCATTGCACTTCTCTGTCGGATTTCTACAGTCATCCAGCAAAGCCCAAAAGGGTCTTAGCTGCCAAGCCTTGGATTTACGTGGTATTCAGAAACTTGTTTAAAGCTTACTCCTTTTACGCACAAGTAGGACTTGTATTTTACCCAGTGACTGGAGTCCTCCTGTTCAGAGGACTGCTTTGCATGGTTGGGATTCTCACAGAAGTAGATTTTTCTCCCCATACCAACCAATAGAACTATGAGTTCTATTAACTGTTAACTCTGGCAAAATGAACTGCATTGTCAGAGTCTGGGGATGGCTGTGATTGCCCAGGCAGCAGAAGAAGCCTCGATTATCGTTGGTTCATAATGATGAAAGGGGAAGAGAAAGAGAGTGGCTGATTGTTTTTTCTAAAGGAAACTTAGTGGTTCGATTTGTCGAATGTCCCTCAGGGACTGCCATAGAGAAGCAACGTTTGTGAGCCTTTGTGAGTGGGGCTTGTGTGAGCCTTCTACACTGCCATCTGTCAAGTCCCTGCTCCCATCCCCTGCTGCCGTGGGGAGTCAGTCCAGAGGTCATTTTTTGCCTTAGGCTCTAGCTGGAGACAAAAGCTGACTTTTTCCCTCAAGTAAATTTTCCCCTGACTTCTAACTCGGCTTCTAAATCCCTAAAAGTGTTTTGAATAAGTGTAAAAGAGAGTTTAATCTCGCTGTCTCTTTTTAGGTATTTCCAAATAAGATTTCCTTGAAAAAGAGCAGGCTAGTAAAAAGGAACTTCTTTGAGTTACAAGCTGAGAACTGCCTTTGGGGTGAGAGGTCAGAAATTGATATCAGCCGAAAGTAACTTTTTACTGCTTCTGTGACCCCTTGAAAGGGACCATCAGAAAAGAATACTTGCTGTGATCTCTCTGTGCATTGTGTGCTAGAGAATGTGAGCGTCTGGGTTAGCCATTCAGATGGCTTATCTGACGTAGGCAGAGGGTTGTCACACCAGGAGGGGCAGCCTGAGCAAGCTGGTAAGAAGTGAGAAGACAGCTCAGGGTACTGTAGGCCTACAATACAGACAAGAATTTGGATTTGTAACTTTTGAGCCATGTGAGTTGAAATTGTATCTGTAACAGGCAGCCCCATATGGAAAAATCAAATCTTGAGCCCTGTTCTGGAAAATTGGATCTCTTTTTGAGCTATAGCTAAGCCAAAGAACTTACCTGCTGTGTGACCTTGGACAAGATGTAAGACCTCCATGAACATCAGTCTCCTGTATAAATGAGCTGAATAATACTGTCTCGTAAGATTGTTGTGCAGATTAGTGATAGAAAGCACCCAGCAGATAGACATGGTTCATGGTATAGCTCACTCTAGTTTGCTAGCTAGCTGGGCATATGACTTATTCTTCTTTTAAAAATGCTAAGCAGCTATACCAATACATGTGTTGATCCTGTTATTGTTAGAGACAAGGATTGTATGGTTAATTTTGTATGCTACCAGAATTAATTGTAGAAAACCCTAAATTTTTTTTTTTTTTTTTTTTTTGTCTTAGCACATATGAAATCCAAATCCCACTTGCACCAACTGAAGAAAAGAAGAAAGTTGGACTCCGATGCCGTCACCACCGTAGAAAGTCAGAGTGTTTCCCCAGACCATGACAAAGAGCTTAAAGAAAAGGGATCCCTTGGGCAGAATGATAAAGAGCTGAAAGTCAGCATGTAAGGGACTTGTCCAGTGACCTTTGCAAAAGTGGCAAGAGTCCAGTTCTTCCATTCAGTGCTGTGGTTTGAAAGTCTCATGTTCTCTGCCGTGGAGACAGTAGGTCCTGTTAGCTCCTTGTGTGGCTGATGTGTCTGGTAATGATGAGTTCAGGAAAGGAGTTTTTCTTTTTTTTTTCTTTTAATCTTAAAGGTTCTATTTTTAAAAGAGGCACAGATTGCACTTTTTTATATTTGATCTTCTTGGTGATAACTACTGGGATTCACTCTATCCCTTTTAAAAAAGTTTTATGTCCTTGACTCTGGCTGGAAATACCTAATTTCCAGACACTTTTATAGCTGACTGAATTATTGTGAGCCACAGTTCCGGAGTTCTGGATGGGAGTGAATGGCAGGAAAGGATAAGCCCCAGTGAGATAACTAAGTGAACCAAACCAGTTTCAGGAATTCCATAAAGAAGCAGAGAATCAGACTGAGGTGGTTGGGACTTAAAGTCTGAAGACTTTGACATTTGTTGAGCTCTTCCTGTGTGATAATCACTGGTATATTCCTGTTGAGTTAGGAATCTATTTTTATTCAAAGTTAAATAAAGAAAAGTTTTTAGGAGCCTCTCTAGTGCTTAAAAAGATATCTATGTGATGTCTAACATATAGTGTGCTTTGTTTTCAACATGAGAACTTTTTCTCAAAGTCAGTGTTCTTAATATGCTATTTGTTTATTTAGCAGATGCTTATTGAGCAGTTCATTATATTCCTGGAAAACATCTGGAAAGGGTCTTTTTGTTTGTTTGGCATGCGGGATCCTAGTTCCCCAAACAGGAATCAGTCTTGTGCCCCCTGCAGTGAAAGTGTTGAGTCTTAATCACTGAACTGCCATGGAAGTCCCAGGGGGACTTTTTTTTAATTGGAGATTTGTTATTTCCAGTTGAAGCTCTCTTACTGGAGTGAACTGAGCTACCAGCCATATATGAATGTAACATAAAATTAAGCATTTTTAAGTTCACAGTTCAGCAGCATTTATGTTATGCAACCAGAACTTTTTCATCATCCCAAACAGTGTACCTATTAAGCAATAACTACCCACTTAAACAGTATTTTATTTGTTTAGAATCTAGAATCCACCTGAAATTCGGGAGACCTGGATTCGATCCCTGGGTTGGGAAGACCCCTGGAGGAGGGCATGGCAACCTACTCCAGTGTTCTTGGCTGGAGAATCCCGAGGACAGAGGAGCCTGGCGGGCTACAGTCCATGGGGTCACAAAGAGTTGGGCATGACGGAGCGACTTAGCACACACACACTATATGAGAGGCCCTGAGTAGGCTAGAGGGATACGGAGACAAAATGAAATGTGATTCTTGCTTTCACAGAGCTTGAAATATTGTTATCTATACACAAACAACAAATTTAGGTAAGAGAATGTCAAAAACCATAAAGGCTGTAAAGAATTTCACTTGGAGGGAAGAGAGAAGAGGGATCATGGAAAAAGGAGTATTTCTACCAGACCTTAAAAAGCAGTTCTTGGTGAATGTATTGTGAGCTATGCAGAAATTTTATTTTTTAGATTTTTTTATATAGTTCAAAAATCAAAATGATATAAAAAGAGATATTCATTGAAAAATCTCGCTCCTACCTCCATCCCCTTCTCCTCTTATAATCACTTACTCATTTTTTTATGTATATCTCATGAGTTTTTTAAAGTAATTAAGAACAAATGCAAATGTATATTCTTGTTTCTTCCCCTTACTGGAAAGATAACAAGTAGTGTACACTGTCTTCATTTGCTTCCTTACTTGTTGGCAATACCTGAGTGTGCGTGGGTTTCTCCTGCCTCCTCAGGCAGGTCTCCTGTTTCTTTTCTTTACCACCCTCCTGAAGGTCACCCAGTTGACCCCAGGCCTTAAGTAAGGGTCCACAACGTTTGCTGAACTTCGTTCAGATGCCAGGGTTAGGCCAAAATTAGCCTCTGAGGAATTCTCAGGCTGTGGGCCAGCTTTTTCATTCAGCCAGCACATATTTTAGAACTTACTCTGAGCAAGGTGCTGTGCTAGACTCTGGGAGTTAAGTGATTACAAAAGCCCACATTGGTCAAATAGTTACAGAATTACAGCTGTGATAAGAGCTATGAAGAAAGGACCCTCGCTGTGAGTACAGGTAACCCGCAGCCCTGCACCTCCTTTGATGTGTGTGTGCGTGCGTGCGTGCATGCATGCGTAGGTGTGTACTGAGGTACATGATGTGGTACACCACGAGTCTGGAGCAAAGACTGCACATAGTAGCACGTGATCTGGAAAGTCGGATTTCACAACTTCAGTGCGTTCTTCCCCTGACCCCTCACCTCCAGTCTGTGGGATGCCTGGATTCCTTGAGTTTTATTGATCCTTACTCACATTACCTGATTTGAATCTCAAGAATAAATGTATTTTTTGGTCAAAGAAGAAATTATCATTGAATCCACATCAACTTATTCTCTATATTAAATGTGGTGTAATTTTCCCAATCAGTGTGTTAACTACTTCAGGAGCTGATGAGGTGGGAGGTAGCATCTTCCCTCTGTAAGTGGAGAGGAATCCTTACTGTGAGCCAGGCAGCACCATGCAGTGTGTATGCATTAGCCTCTCATACAACCCTGGGAGAGAGAGACTGTTTTTGTATATGTTCCCCAGTGGGGAAACAGGCGCAGCAAAGGTACCTAAGCCAGGACATGGCAAAGCTGGAATTGAAGCGAGGCCACAGAATTCAGGATTCAAGCTGCTGAGCCCTGTGTTAAGCTGGCAGATTTTAAAGAGGAACCTTATTGGATGCATGAGACAAGTGCTCGGACCTGGTGCACTGGGAAGACCCAGAGGGGTCGGGTGGAGAGGGAGGTGGGAGGGGGGATCGGGATGGGGAATACATGTATATCCATGGCTGATTCATGTCAATGTATGACAAAAACCACTACAATATTGTAAAGTAATTGGCCTCCAACTAATTAAAAAAAAAAAAAAAGAGGAACCTTAGTCTCTGAAATGCTCTTCACTCAAGTTGCTAAGTATGTTTTAAACCTTAAAAAAATTTAAATGGAGAAGCAGGAAAAACTAGTTTTAGTAATCCTTCCTTAAAAAGCCTTTAATCCGTTCATTTGAAATACCTGGAACTACAACTTCTCCTTGAACTAACCATCCCTATCTCTGTGACAGCTGGCAATCAGGGATTTCTTGAAAGAGAAAAATCCAAGCACCCAGTATTTGTGAAACACTTCAGTCTAAAGCACTGTGGTTGTGCCCACTATCCCTGTTCTTGTTCGGTCGTTCAGTTGTGTCTGACTCTGTGTGACCCCGTCGTCTGTAGCCCACCAGGCTCCTCTGTCCATGGAATTCTCCAGGCAAGAATACTGGAGTGGGTTGCCATTTCCTCCTCCAAGGGATCTTCCCAACCCAGGGATTGAACCTGCATCTCTTGCATTAGCAGGCAGATTCTTTGCCGGGTTCTTAGAAACTGTCAATTCAGCAAGATAAAATTCCTGTACCCGCAGCAGAGGGCCTGGGGAAGGCAGAATCCTCACTAGCAATCTCTCCTCTCTAGGAATCTACTTGGTGGTCCTGATCTGAGGCACTGCTTTGAGGTCAATTGCCCCTTGCTGCCTGCTGCCCCGTGAATGACTACTGTTGTGTGTAGGGAAGGAAGCAGTTCTGCCTAGTGATTGTCATAAATGTAGAGGTAAGCAGGTCCTTAGCACCTTTTTGTACAGGGGGGGGAAACAGGCCCCAAACATAGATGTTTCATAGTTACAGGTTGTGACAGCCAGCACAAAGCTCAGGTCTCCTGTGTCACTCAGCTTGCCCAGTCTCATACCAGATCTCATTTGAGAGCAGGAAAGGACCACCTTTGGGCATTTTGTTCAGCCTAGAGAGGATGAGAAGTGCCCCAGTTAATCCCTAGATAAGCAGAGCCTGAGTGTAGGTGCAGGTACCTAGAGTCTCCAGTCCATGGCAGTGCTGTCTAAATGGCTTTGGCAATTCCCACTCTCAGCAAGCTACTTAGGGCCATCTACCTCTGTTAGTAAAAACCTTCCCCTCATTTTATTTTTTTTAATTTTTAGAGGATAATTACTTCACAATGTTGTGGTGGCCTCTGCCATACATCAACATGAATAGGCCTCCCCTCAGTTTCAAGAGAGAATTGACAGATAAAGTAGAAATCTTGAGACTTTAGACACTTCTTATAGTTCAGACAGTGCTGTTTTAAGTAGGCAGAAAATATTTTGACTCTGGAAAGAGGTGGATTCTTAGTCTTGAAAATATTTTGAGTTTAGCAAGAGAACATTTTGTCTATAGCCTAGGTTTGTGGTTTGAACCTTTGTATTGACAATTCTCAGTAATTATTTATATTCTTAGCCTCAGTTCCACATTCTACAAAGATTTTTTGCTTAAAACACTTAGCACGACACTTAAAAAAAAAAAAAAAAACTAGAAAGAAGGCTTTTACAAATACAGCAACCTGTCTGTATATCCCCAGCATCTAGAAAGTTCAGTATTTGTTGAATTAATTGTGTGAAAGCCTCGAAGTTAGTGGATTTCTACATAAGTAACCTGTTTTTTAATTGTTAAATAACCTTTAAGTGGGATGAAAAAATCTTGGGATAGTAGCCACAGAAAGGAATTTCATTATTTGATTATCACCTACTTGGGTGGTTAGGGCTGTTTTCTGAAAAGCTGGCTAACAGGTCATTTGTAAAGCTGTTTTGAATACATACAAAGGCCTCTGCATGGTTGTATTAGTTAGGGTAAAAGGCTAAGCTGCTGTGACAAAGAGACTCAACAATACAGTGGCTTAAAGAACAAAGAAGTTTGTTTCCTTCTCACGTAACAACTCTGAGGGGAGTTAACATTTCCGAAGTGAGCAGTGCAGGTCAGTGGGGCAGCTCCGCTGCCAGCGGTTCTTCAGGGACACAGACTCCATCTATAGCACGTTGCCTCTCCGCCGTCTGGGGGACATCGTCAGCACTGCCTGCTTAAAGTTGGGTCGTCTCTGGTTCCAGTCAGTGGGAAGGGGACAGAGCGTGGAGGAAGGCTGGGACCCTGCAATGGGACACATAATTTTGCTCACTTTGCCTTGGCAAGAACTTAGTCATGTGGCCGTATCTACCTGCAAAGAAGGCTGAGAAATGAGTCAAGCCATGTTCCAAGAAAGAATGGGAGAACAGATTTTGCTGGGCAACTCGCAGTCTTCACTGAATTAGTCTCGTGGAAAGAGCACTGGTTTATCTAATTAGCTCTGATAGCTTGCTAGGGTCACATCTCTTATTTCCCCATCTGTGAAACCAGCGAGTGATAGGAGCTGGCCTCTGAAACATTTCAAAAAATAAAGCTTGAGAAATTCTTGGCTGCTGAGATTTTAAGATGAGTATTAAAGTGTAAGAGTGAACATGAGACTGAGTGAGCCTTAGGGCCAATGGCTAATGCCCTAAAGGTGGTGGAGAGGGAAAGTCAGAAGGTATTTCGATGGCATTGCAGGATACCTGAGTTAAGAAGGCTGTGACTGTCTACTTCCAGACTTTCTGATGTGGAAGAAAAAGAAACTGCTATTTGTACCTGCAGCTGAAGGCCCGCCTGTCTAATATGCTGTTGGTGTGACCCAGGGAAGGTTTTACTCAAGTAGCCCCAGTTTCCTTGTTTATAAAATCGTGTTATTATCTCCATTCCAGGGGACATTGTAAGGATTAAATGAGGTCCTTTTGAAAGCAGCATAGTGTTTGGTGCTGCAATGCCTAGTAAGTTGTAGGCATAAATTGGATTTATTTGGTTCGTCGGGGAAGAAATAGTTAATGCTACTTAAGTGGTGATTTATGGTATGTTGTCAGTTTCCAGAAGTTATCAGGGCAAGATTATATTTAAAACTGAGTGGCTTGATGTTCCCTTGTGCTAATGGACAGGAATGGTGCCTCAGGCTTTATCTGTCACCCAACTAGTTGTTAGTCATTAATGTTGTTGTTTTTAATGCATATGATTTCTTCTTGGGTC